TGAATACACAGATACAAAATGGTCATTCATCTGTATCCCCCTTTTTTGTTTAGTTCCATCATTTAAATATTATAGGTCTGTGAACTCAGCAAAATATTCCAAAATAGTCCAGTAGTCCATAATAGTACTAGGTCTTCCGCTTCACTGACAATGCCAGAAGTTGTTGACCTGAGTCCCCTACAGCTCGACATAGCAACATGGCTTTATTTCTTGTACTTCCCAATCTACCTGTGGAAATGAGGGCAAGATCAGTTCTTACTGAACTTGCGAAAATGTTCATTGCTTCAGTAATTGCTGAAGTCCAAGCTGATGTTCGCGAAGCTAAGGGATGTGCAGCACTTGCAGGCAGGCCCGGTGACATCAGTCTCTGCATTCCAGGCTTCTAACTACCTCAGCCCAGAACATCTCCTGAGAAATGAGATAGAAGAAAGTCAGAGGAAACTGCAGGTGGCCTTGGATACCTTGAGTTTCTTCAAGCACGTGTTTCAGGACAGAAGGGAGAATCTCTATATTTACTTCAAAGAGAGTGAGGAGGTCAAGGAATGGGATTTCCAGTCTTCTTTGGTCTTTGTGCGCCTGGATATCTTCCTGGGCCGACTGCATACAGTGGAGGTAAGTGTGTTCATTAAGAGCCCTGGGCCCACATGTGAGTGAAGTCCAGGCCCCCAAGTGTACACTAGGAGAATGAAAAGCACAGTCCTCCATTGGATGGTGGAACCCATGAACGGTGCTCCATAGATAGTCATCATTTCGGTTGATCATCACAAAGTGCTCATACTTAGAAGAGCAGCACATTCTGATCACAGACCCATGCAAGAATGCCCAAAAGCAAGTTACCTAATTCAAATTGCCTATGGTCTGTGAACATTTTACTAACTCCCCACGAGGAATACAATATATAATTATTATGTACTATGATCAAGTACTAGTAAATATCAAAAATATTAGAAAAAATTAAGTTGAATTAAATTAGAAAAACAAATAACTTAACTAGAAAATCCAGGATGCAAAATGAAGATGAGAAGATCAGGGTACATTTGGCCATTCCCACAAAAAAATTTCTTTAAACTTCTCTACTCCCCTGCTCTCCAGATGATATCCCAAACTACAAAACTAGCAAATCTCTGCAAAAGAAACACCTTCTACACACAACTGTCTTTCCTTGATTATTTAAAACTTCATGTAACTTTAGTGTAAGTACTGTGGTGGGAAGAGATGGGACTTTCCCTTTGATCTTAAGAATTTAGTGTCATTAGTATCTTACAATTATGGATTTGTTGATTTAACTTTGGGGGAGAATAATAGGCATTGTATAATAACACACTTTCTTAAAACTGATTTTAGAAATTCAAAGTCAACTTCAGGACAATAGCCAAGTGACAGAGAAAGAATTAGAACAGTGTTTTCAACTGGGATTAGCAGATATTTGGGAGGGAATAGTACTGTGCTAGGAAAACAACTGGGATGACAACAGCAAAGCCATGTGTTGATGAGGGAAAGAGAATCTGGGACTGGAACTCAGTGTGGAAGGTGTAGACCCACTACAAGCATGCACCAGGCACTGAGCTAAAGACTTGCAAAGATAGCTGAGGTATGATGCTGCCTGATTTCTGCACCTGTGTCCAGACCCCGAGGGAAGAGAGAAGGCTGAATGGAGGAGATCCAGGGATGGGAAGACACAGAATCAGAAAACTTCGCTAAAGTGTACTGAGAGCCATAGCAAAAGTCACATTGGCTGGGTTATTGGGAGTGAGAGCGAAGGGCCTATGACCCATCAGGACTTTGAAAAAAAAAAAAAAAAGGCAGAAATAAGAGGAAATCAATTTTAAGACCGGAGTAGGAATTCCCCAGGGAAAATTAGGCAGGGAAGGGCCTAAAGACAGAAAATGTATTCAAGAGAGCTAGAAGCTAGACCTTACAGAAGTCACACCTTAAATCCTTCACTGAGATTGTGGAGAGTGTAAATAATTGATGTCTAGCTTCATCCTAAATGCATCCTTTTCTCACAGCCCTCTCCAGCTGGCCCTAGATGCTGGCCCCCTCCTTCTCTCTCCCTCTCCTCCCTATCCCTTTCATCCCTGCATCAACTCCTTTGCTGTCGTTCAGCTGAGGTGGTGGATGCTCCAGCTGCAGCCTGCCCCTGGCCTGGGCCGACCACGGAGGAATAATTTTCTCTGTCACTCTGCAGCAGTCATATTCACAGGCCTGTGGTACTGAGGAAGACCCTGAAGGTGGTGGCTGAGCTTAGCTCAGAGCGACTGCTAGGGTGGGCTCCTCAGGCCCGGTGCACATATGCTAAACAGGTGACTTTGCATATAGACAGCTATTTTAACATTAGGGCACCTAATCTCCTGCACGTATTCAGTAAATATAAGCAAAGCCAGCCACCAGTCTCTCCAGAGTCATTACCCTCACAATAGTCCTCTCTTAGGCTGCTTCTTCTTTCTGAATCAAGGACACAGATCCTTAAGGAACAGTTGCCCCAGTTTAATTAGAGGAGGACTTGAAGGCTGCGCTGCTCTTTCGTGTCCCGTCCCCTCCCCTCTGATGTTTTCGGTCCTGTTGACTGGTTTGCTTCTTGCTCCTGGCAGCACTCCACCATTTGTTCTTTTTATTTTTCATCTCAGACTCATCCCCCTTTGCCCTTTGCTGTCTTCTTCCTCCCTCTTCACTTTCCTCCTCAGTTTAGAGCAGTAGGACAGGGAACTATTGATTATCTTCTGGCATATTTCATGTACCCTTTAGTTAACATTCTGTGTATCTCTGATCGATGCCTGCTTGAAATGGGATTAATCTGTCTCTCTCCAGCAAGAATTAGCAAGAACTTTGCCTTTGTATTCTGTTTTAATACAATATGTGACCCCCAAGAAGAAGGCAGTTGTAATTAATAGTCACATGAAGCCAAGGGAGTAAAATGATATCAATGTCTTCAGCCTTCTACATGCTGGTGCCAAGGGGTTATATTGTGCAGGGCTGGGTTTTATTTTTTATTTTTTTTTT